GACGACACGCCCAACACCTCACCGCAACTCACCTGTTTGTCTCACATCAAACATGTCTGAGTTCATTTGCACACAAGTATTGTTCATTAAGGGATGTGAATGTTTCCTTCATTCCCGCAGCACTTCTATGCCTTTTTCACATTTTTGTCACCTCTGTTGTATTTATTAACTTTCCAAGATGAGGATTAATTATTGATCTAACATGAGAAGACAATGCACAGCTACAGGTTAAACCATCCTCACATTCTCACAGGCCTGTTGTCTGAGATTTGTTTAATCAAAGAGACATTTCCGCTCGAAATGTCTCACAAGGTTTCACTTACATAACTGTCTGAAGTCTATGTTAGAGAAAAATCTCAGCTAACGACAGCTTCAGACAAATATTGTAAAAGTTAATTTTATTGCATGTCGCATGTCAGATAGAATGTGTAAGACATAATATCAGTTTCAGGCTGTCAGATTGTGCCTTGAATGTGAAACTTTATTCAAATGAGTTCTGATTTGTAGACATTAGTTACAGCAACAGATTCTAAATATTATGTTTTATGCCAAATATAGAATAGAGATGAGGGGATACATTGCAGTTATGTGTTTAATATTAACTCTCTGAAACCCAGAATCCACTTGCAGGTTTGAAAGGCATGTTATCTAGTTTGGTTCAACCCATAATTCTCAGAAACATTTTAGTTTTGATCTGGCGCCTTCCTGGTTGCCACGCCTGTTCACTGATTGACTAGATCACATTTCGTGAGGAATTTTTAATCAGTTCATTTGATCAAAATCTGATGAAGAAATCTACTTAAAGGGTTGTGTTTAAACAGTGTTTAATTCCACCACAAAAATGAGCAATGATCAAATTTAAAGGCATAATAATTAAATCATAATAATNTCTCTATGAGAAGAGTTGGAGACACAGGGCGATTAGGAAATTGCAGAAGTAAACGGAGGATAGAGCAGGAGCGCCCCCAGTGGCCACAGAAACATTGGGGGTTGCGGTCGTGTTGGTGTTGGTGTTGGTGTTGGTGGTCGTACTGGTGTTGGTGGTCGTGTTGGTGTTGGTGGTCGTACTGGTGTTGGAGGTTGAGGTGGTGTTGGGGATCGTAGTGGTGCTGTTGGTGGAGGCTGGAGACAGCAGTGTGCCCAAATTCTGAGTAAGGAAGATCTGGAAGCGGCTCACTCTGGTGAAGACGTGCATGTTG